CAACCGATAGCGTTTCAAGAGTATGGGCCAGACATGCTTGTCGTCCGATCTGCATCAAAGTTCGAACATTAAACGCTGCGAGAATGAGTGGAGAACCAGGTTGAAGAAGAGCTGGAGTTTCGGTGGAGTGCGGGGACATTGAAAACCGGGAGTTTAGCTGTTGCTTCCATCAGTTGTGAGACGTGGGTCGTTTGTGACGGTGACCGTCGAAGATATAAGAGTACATGTAGGTGAAGGACGGGAGGTGGGGTGGTCTGTGAGTGGACGTTGAGCGGTTGAGTTAGGACAGAAAAGAGGCATAGCGTAGCAGTAGTGAGCGGTGTAGTCCGTGATTCGTCAGTGGGCGTGATACTACCCGGTTGCCCAGGCCGAAGTAGAGGGTTGTCTTAGGGGCCCTACCCTGAGCCTTTGATCAAAGATCTAACCTACAAGGCAGCAGGGCGATGTGAGGGGGTCGCAACCCGTTGGGAGCCGGTGACCAAATAGATGGTTCATACGCCTTTCGGTCCGTGAAAGTCCAGGGGCCCAACGCACCTTAGAAGTACAATGGCTCTCAGGGAGGGGCAAGGGGAAGTGACTTTATTTAGTGGCGAGTCACATCCGCCACGTCGCAGTGTCGTTAAACAGAAAGTTGTGGCTTTTTATAGGGAGAACGCTTGCCAGGCGAAAACCCACCACGTCCTGGAACACTGCCGCCGAACCATTTGCTGGAATGGGAAGTACCCGAACCACCAAGCTGGCACCACGAGGAGGTTGTTCGGCAAGCCAGCCACCACCTAAGTTAGCTTTTGAGGAGCTCAGGCACACGACTTGTGCATCCATATCTTCTGCAACAACTATGGTATCTGAAACGGTAACACTGCGTAATGGTGTATTCAGTTCGTGATTGAATGTGTCCTTTGCCGCTTCAGAATTACGGTCGTTGGGATCATAAGCGGAAACCACAAACAAACAGTGTCTTGCGTTTTGAACTACTTCGTGAATCAATTTTAGTTGGTGTCGTCAAACAGACTGCACACAAACATCTGTTCACCGAAATTCAATCAACAAATGATGACTAAGGCTTCCAGCTGAGAACCATACCTACCCTAGCTTAACCTATCGAATGCTGCATCAGCATTTCCGGATTCGTGCAACCAATAGCGAGAGGAAAAGCCGGGCGCGGTTAATTCAACAACCCCATTAGGTCATTGATCCTAGTTTCGGACACACAACATACGTCAATACTCAGTGTATGCAGCGTGCTTGCGAGTATAGCCTGTTGACCTATTTGTTTTAGAGGGCGAAATTTGAACGCCTCCAGTGAAACGGAACGAGGTCGTCTTTTACGGGACTGTTGCCTATAGGCGTCCAGTAGGTATTGCGGAAATGTGGCTGTAGATGGTTCGGCCCCAGTGGCACTGCGGCTGATGGGAATTATAGGAGGAATTATAGTGGGATGGTTAGTAATGGGGCCTCACTTCTGTGCTGGCCTCGGTGGGAGCTTCACCGCTCCCTGGTTGGGGTCCAAAAGACGGTGAACACGTTTGGCTGGATACATTTGCTGACATGACAAGGAGCCGACCTCAGTGGCATTCCTGCTGTGAGTTTCTTTTTCCTCCCCATCCCTTTTAGCCTCCCCCTCCAACCACGGTCTCATTTCTTAGCGTAAAACATAATAATTCTTTTTCTTTTTGTCTAGTAGCCGGCTGGTAGCTTACCGGTACGATGCCTATCCGTTGCTAGTAGTTCAGCTGGCATGCAACTTTTGTATTTATTTTCCTTTTTCATTTATGTATTGCGGCACAGTAGCTGAGGTGTTTCCCACCTCTAGCTGACGTATATAATGAATGAATGAATGGTTAGTAATGGGGCTTAATGGAAGTAAGAGAAACAGGTGGAAAAGAAAGGGGTCGCCAACAGTAACAAGTTTTCGCTTATCCGCCCTGCTGTATGCAACAGATAAGGCGGCCCTTGATAATCTGCGCGACGGTCAATGCAGGATGTGATTAAATGTTGAAAAAAATAATCGTGGATTACATGGGCTGAGATACTGCCAGGGTGCCCAGACCTAGACAGGAGGACGTTTAGGGTCTTCGACCAAATCCTTCGGCTCAAATGCGGGTTCGCAAGGTAGCTCGGTGATGGCAATGATTAGGTTTTACAACACTGGATGCCATCCTATTACAAACCCCCAAGCTGGAGGACCAGCAGACTGAGTTTGTCTGACCACTGACCATTGATCAGAATGGTTGGGGTAGTTCTCTAGGAGCTCGGGGGCGCCATGTGTTATAGCTCAACGTGTCAAGGAGGTACGTTAACCGTCGCACCACGTTGAGGCCCAGTCTCATTGCCACTTCACTGTTACAGGTACTTTGCTGCCATCACACACGAGCATTCCTCAAGCACCCATTGTCGAAGGCTCCAAGCCGGCGCATATCAACTACGCGAACTGGTCACGACTCGCTTCCATATAGCAACACCGCCCTAACGGTGGCAGTGTAAACGCGACCCTTAACCAATAGGGAGACACCCGGACCACGCCACAAGTGCTTCAGGTTGGCAAACGCTGACCGAGCTTTGGCGATACGTAGCCATACGTCCTTTCCCAAAGTGTCGTCAGGACCGTGTCGATTTTCGATTCTCACGACATGCGAGAAGCCGTCACTATCAACCTTCTCAAGATTGCTGATGTGGAACCTGAGCTTGACGAGCACTGTTCCACATTTTCCGACGAATAAGTCCATTCACTGATGGAGGAGGCGTCTACTTCAAATCTCACTAACTCCAAGGAGAATTGTCCATCTGAGCCTCCCAGCATATCTCATGTCGCTTTTCAGATTTTGCGATCCGATGGAATTTCAAAGTCGATAACGCCTTCCATTGAATTCCAAAAGTCTACTAGATCAGATAGACGGGACAATTATCCAGCGCGTTTAAGAAATTTTTTCAGTTTTCTTTCCACTTACTGATCAGTTCCACAAGAACAACAAGACGGCGAAAGTTTTGTAAACCCAAAAATTTTGAAACACTTTGAAAATAAAAAAAACGAAGAAATTGCTTGTGGGACGGCCTACCTCATCCGGTAATTGCTGCTATTATCGTTGCCCTCGTCGCCATTGTCACCACGTACATTTTCGTTTGCCTTCTGTGTACGAACCGGGGATAAATTGGAAGTGTACGTTTGGCGCTCATGAACGTTCCCCCATTTTGTGTCTTCGGTACCTTTAGAGAGGACACGGTTGGAGCCCACTCGGATCCCATCTCACTTGTGCTCCCCAGAAACTGTCAAGTCCCACCTTCTGGTCTCACAGAAGGCTGACCGGCCATAAACAGTCCTCACTTAGATCGAAGGGTCACTTACGGTTCCCTTCTAATGGGCTGTGTGGTGATCTGGAAATTCCCCCCATTTGGTTACGGATTGTTGTGTACAATCTTTTAAAACTATAGTCTTATTATGTGCCCAAGGAATTAGGTGGGTCGCTTGTTTTCATGTTGCTCTTTCCAATGCGGACACCCATAACCGGTTTTGTTCTGGGTTGGACTCGTCAAATGGGGCTATTCTGATCTGGGGTGGAACTCTGGGCCTAGTTGTTAACGGTTGTCGCTTTAATCACTGCCACTAAGATCCGTGACGAACGCTTGGCACAGCGTTAAGGAATTTGATGTTAGATTTGGAGTGTCGGCCAGTGGCCGAGTGCTCTGCGCGTCTGGTTTGCAACCGTAAAGTTGCCGATTCGAATCCGCCTTGGGACAGGCGTCCTCGCGGAATACTCGGCCCACGGACGACTAGTGGTGGTCGCGCGACAGCAATGCGTCGTGATGTCGTACAGCTGACGCATTATTCTTATTAATTCTATTATTATTATTATTATTATTATTATTAGATTTGGAGTACCCACCATGTTGAATTGCGACACACAGTCTCTATTGAGACCTCGGTTGACTTTGAAGTAGACCACTGTCATTTCGATCACAAGGACTGTATCCGAAATGGAGGTGTTTCGGTGTTGCTCCTCGCAACACTGACACACCATGATTGGTTTCGTCCTACATCTGTTCAGTCAAAAGGAAGAAGAAATCGGTCGGGGGACGTCAGTGTTGGGAGGAGCAACACCGAAACACCATTTCGGATAAGATCCATGTGATCTGAATGATCCAGGTTTACCTCAAAGTGCACCGAGGTTTCAATAGAGATTGGGTGTCGCATTCCGACCACACGGCAGGTACTTCAAACCCAACTATGAGTTGTTGGCTTTTGTTTGAGACAACACACGCTCGCGTCTTTCCGCCACGGAACGCGATCTGCTACCAACAGCCATCCTCACACTCCGCACGTGCTTGCCTCACTTTTAGCTAACGCTCTTCTTTTTGCCACAATTGTGGCCGTAGTTAGATTATCGCCTTTCTGTGTTCCGCTCATCTACGCATTGCCGTTTGTTCGCGTATCAGAAATATAGGACTAATTTCGGGCTTCTATCAGAACGTCTTGTCGGCAGGGTGATATGTAGAATGAGGATGCGTGCGTGCTTCGTTTGTTATTCGGCGCCATCACGTGTGGTTGGGCCATTGCGCATGCCTCAGTCTTACATTTTGGTATATTAGCCATATGACTTATCACTCCCGGTCTGTGGTTGAACAGACAAGGCGTCTGTCTTGCAACCCGGAGGTCGCAGATTCGAGCCTACATAGGGGACTGGGCGACCTTCGCACGCGCGACTGGTGGTTGTTGCTTGACAGCGAAGCGTCAGTTTGGCGTGCCGAAGTACTGCTGATGCCTTTTCTATCTGGTGAATAGCATTTGGTCGTTTATGTTCTTAGAGGCCAGTTTCTGTTTTACCATTCACACCGTTGTTCTCGTATCCTTAAGGCCCACCACTACAACACCAATTTTCTTCATTTTAACCTTTGTGTTTTCCTATTCAGCTGGCTATTTCCATGTTCTACCAACGCACCTTCTTTTGGGAGTACCATGCGCTTCCATGAAACTGAATGTCTCCTTCCATCTTGATTGCCTTTTCACTTTCGCCCAACTGTTGTTTTTGCTAGCTGTCATACGGTCTGGATTTCTCAACCATGGCTCGAAATCTGATCCAAGTATACGATGGTCCGGGTGCTTGCAAAGGAGCCTACATCCAATTATTGAATTCACTTCGCAAGTGGGCTCCCGGATTCACGATCATTGAAACCAATGGAAAACTTATTCAGGAACGACATCGGTTCAACGATACGATTCTTCTGTGTTTTGGTGGGGGATACGATGTTGGCTTCCTTCGCTCATTAGGACTAGCGGGCTGCGCCTCAGTGAAACGGTTTGTCCAGGATGGTGGTCGGTATCTAGGCATATGTGCCGGCGGTTATTTTGCCTCAAAGAAGTGCATGTTTGACAAAAACGGGCCTCTGGAAGTTTGCGGTCCTAGGTTCACAGGATTATTTGAAGGTTTGTTGTTCCGCATGCATGATATATCCATCCCTGCAGGAATTGCCGTTGGTCCCTATTTTCCAGGCTTCAAGTACGATTCTGAAGATGGAAGCTATGCTGTGCCCATCAAAGCTGCTTGCTCCCACATTTCGCCACAATCTACCATAGTTTATTTTAATGGAGGATGCAGTTTCCAATGTGACGATTGGCCGCGTTCCAAGGCCTTGTACTACTAGTGAGTGAGAATAGTCGGGAACTATTTTCGCTTTCGTAAGCGGCCACCACATGTTATGGACACCTTAGCCCATGTTTTGCATGCTAGTTAGCACGCTGAGAGCTGCGCCCGCGGAGCAAATTGATGATTTGATAGTCTATTTGATTCTACGACTACCCGTTCTCCCCAATTGTTAGACCGAATTGCGTACCTTGTCGAGTGCAAATTGTAACTACTTTCGACTATCACGGTGGGATATTTCCCACCTATGAATCTTTGATCGATTGCGGACTGTGTCACGTATGTGATCCTTTTTCTAACTGCGTACTTTTGACCGTTGATGTCGATGACATTTTGCACATACTGTTTGTTGTCTACTTTTCGATGAAGTCATTTGCCATCGGTCTACCACCATGTCAGTACATTGCTGTTCTGTCCAATAGCTCTCATGTAAACTGAGGTACAGGTGTTGCGGTTGCAGTTACTCGCAGTACTTCAGTAATCAAAAACTACTGGGAGCATTGTTAGATTTCCATGTTTTCTCGCTATTCCGAATTAAACATCCGAAAATTCTCCGCAGGAATTCCAGTTCAGCCGAAGAAAAATCAGAAGTTAAACGAGCTTGACCACGAAGTGTTGACAAAACGCCGCCAAAACACTGTACAGCTACGCCATACCTACGCCAAATATATAGGTATCTCAATGACCTCCGACTTCTAGAAAACGAAGGTCACCTGGTGAAAATAGCAGCTTCCTTGCCAAAACTCGGTATGTTGGCAATCACGTGCAGGAATGAAAGGTTCCGGAATTTTCGAAATCAATACACAATCGAAGATAATCGATTACTTGCTAAAAATAATGGGTTTTCCTTTATGTTTTTTCCTTTCCCTGATACCTCTCCTCCTAAGACGTCTGCCGCGGTGTATTTTGATGGCCTACGGTTGACCTGAAGCCTCCTGGACGATGTACTACGCCTATCGGTCCATCACCTTGGCTGTTGTATTCTGGATTCGAGTTCCTTGCTCTGCGATCTGACATCATTCTTCTGCTGACCAAGTTCTTCCACGGACTCTTTAGGCAAGTTGAAGCTGTTCATCAGCAGGCCAAATGATACCTCGGCTGATTCTGTTGCTTGTGGCTGAAACAGTATTGGTCGCAGTTGGTTTGCATGGCGTATCCATACCTTTGTTCCAACCAGCACGTCGTAACTGATGTTCCCCCACTTGTCCTGGATCGTGCCTGGCCTCTATTTTGCGTATCCTTCCCGGTAATCACGTGCAAGTACTAACTGACCCGGTTTAAACGACCGTCGCTTGGCACCATACCGCCGATTGAAATCACGTTCAATCTTTTGGTTCATTTCACCAACTGTGGGCTCTGTGGACGGCTGGGCTGCATCAAAGGGCATGCGAAGCTTTCTCTTCATCATTGCCTCTGCTGGTGATACTCCATCCGGCGTTTGTGGATTTTGTGTAGATCGGTACCGGAGGAACCGGTCGATCACCCCTCTGCGTCTCTCCCCTCCTTGATTTGAGGAGAGCGCGTTTGAATGTATCCACAAATATCTCCGCTTAGTTGTTCAATTGTGAGTGAAATGGTGGATACCGCACGTGTTTTATGGTGCATCGTTTGCAGAAGGTTGCAGAAGTAAACTGTGCTCCATTGTCCGTCACCAAAGTTTCAGGGCAGCCGGACCTGCTAATGATTTCTCGCAACCTTGAGACATTTGCGCTGGTTTTCGTGCTGCTCATGGGGAACACTTCGGGCCACTTGCTGTAAGCGTCGACCACTATGAGAAACTTCTGGCCGTTGATTGGGCCTGTAAACTCGACATGAACACTGCTCCAAGGTTTCGCTGGTTTTGGCCTACGAGTGGAGTTCATTCTTTTGTGGTGCCCTTGTAACGGTAGCGCAGTTGCTACAACCTCTAGCTAGATGCTCCAGCTGTCTCTCCATAAACGGCCAGTACACATAACTTCGATCAAGTGCTTTCCTTCGCTTGAGCCCTGGATGTCCTGCATGTAACTGCCGCAAAACTTTATTGCAATCTCTGCGGGAAGACTACCCCCGCCGAGAACATGACGCAATCGTTCACAATGGATAGCGAATATCTTCGCCCATAGAACTGCTGCATTTCGGCATAGAAGCACGAACGTGGCCAGCCCGCTCTGTGTAAGTGTGTAACCTACTTTTGGATTGAATCTAGAAGTGTTGCGGCCCGCACAGTTTCTGTCGTAATTGGCAAACAATGTCATGCCTCGCTCACCAGGAATTTGACATCAGGTTCGATCTCAACTGAGGCTATAATGGTATCCTCGTGTTGTTGCTGATGGGCATCAGTGAGGCGTGACTACGCATTTGCTTGGCCCATCGTAACCGTTGACTGATAGCGGATTTCAAAATCATAGCCCAGAAAGGTGAGTGCCCATCGTTGGAGTTGATTGGTTGTGTAGGCAGGGATGCCCATTTCGAGCCGAAAATGGACAGCAGCGGCTTTTGATCCGTCAACAGCTTTAAACGGTGGCCAAACAGCATCTTGTGAAAGTTCTTCACAGCAAACACTATGGCCAATGCCTCCTTCTCGATCTGGCTATCGTTTCTACCACCTTTTGCAGCGTCCTGGCGGCATGTGCGATCGCCTTCTGAGATCCATCTGGGAACGTATGGGAAACTAGGGCACCGATCCCAGACTTGATGCGTCTGTGCTGAGGACACTTTCTCGGGACGAGTCAGTGTAAGTCAGGAGTAGGTCTGAATCCAGCAATGACTTGACCCGCTCGAACGCAGTTTGGCATTCTGATGTTCAAGTCATTTTTTTGGTCGTTTCTCAGCAACTTGTTCAGCGAGGCACGCAGGCGGTGTAATTCGGGTAGAAAAGCGCTGTATTGACTAATTGGGCCACAGAATGGACGCAGTGATTGCAGGTCCGCAGGCGGGGCAACCTTCGAATAGCTCGGATATTTTCTGGATCTGTGCGACGAGCGTCTATTGCGAAAGTGAAGCCGAGGAACTTGATGCTTAGTGTAAACAATGTACACTTTTCTTCACGGATCCGGAAACCATATGACTGGATGTGTTCAAACACTTCAGCGAGCCGCTCAAATAGTTCTGTCTTCAACCCATTAAAATGATGTCCTCCAGGTACGCAGCCTCTAGTAACTCCAGCGAGCATGGTGTCTATCAGGTGCTGGAAGATTGCTGGTGCTGTTTTCACTCCAAGAAGGAGGCGGTTATACCGGTACAAGCCACGACGAGTGTTGATAGTCAGCAATTCTCTCGTCGTTCATGAACCTCGACCTGTAAATAGGCATCGGACAAGTCGAACTTGGCGAAACACTTCCCATCATTCAGCTTGGCAAAGATATCCTCTGGTATCGGAAGGGGGTACTGATGGTCGTCCAGTGCGGCATTCAGGTCAGTCGAAAAATCGGCACAGACACGCACTGTACCGTTCGGCTTTTTCACGGCAGCGATCGGCGTAGCGCATGAAGAGTAGTTCACTGGTGTGGTGACACCGGTGCGCTCCAGCCCATCAAGCTCCTGATCAACTGCTGCCATCGCTGCATACGGTTGTGGTCTTTTTGATCTGAAGACGGGATTGGTTCCCTTGCTAAAGCACATTGCTTTGAACTTAGTGCAGTAACTGGGACTATCTTCAAACAATGAGGCCAACTAATGCTTTAGCTTTCTCGTCTTGTCTTCGATCGACAATCATGCCTGGACTGGATCGGTTTGGACTATATTGCGAATCAGATTCATTGCAGTGTCAAACAGTTGCAACTTTTCTATCCAATCAAGCTCAAGGAGATTCAAGTTTGGTCAGTCCGACAATAACAGGTCCCGGTTTGTTCCACTTCGTTGAATGCAATTTTGCAGGTTATTTCTCCGACCAGCTTCAGCACTCCACTGGATGCATTGTGGGCGACTTTATTGGAATCAACCCTCTTCGGCCCCCTTTATGTGCTTCCAAGTGTTGCTGGAAATGATCGCTATATCTGAGGCTGTATCGAACTTCAGCCTGGTTGGGATTCCCTTGATGAGCACAGTGATAAATCGGCAGCGTGGTCTAGAATCGCTGTGAAAAGCTACAAACACCGATAGTGATACTGCGTCAGGCTTCCTGAACTTCTTCCTTCGGTAGGACTGCTTCACGTTTCTTGGCCGGGACTGCTGACAAAAGTATTCTTTGGGCCGCCTTTATGGCACTTATCACAAATGTGACGCTTGAATGGACAGTATCATGCGAAATGCCATCCACCACATGACCAGCAAGGTGTAGGCGGCTTGTTCGGCGCTCTGTTGAATGACTTGTTCGAGCCAGCCCATCTTGCTTTTTCACAGCATGAACAGTCTCGGCAATGATGGGGCGACTCTGCTAAGTCATAGCGGTGTCGTGTTTCAAAGTGATCAGCCGTTTGCATTCACCTACTAGAGACTACAGTGTCAAATCTGGATCTTGATCCAACTTAGCAGGGAGCCGATTGCGGACTTCCGCGTCGCATGGGACGGCACAACACTGACAAATATGAGACACCTAAACTGGTCATCCGTCAAAGGACGTGATTTGCAACGGTTAACTTTGTCTGCTAGTGCCCCACGCTCGTCCGTATCCCGCTCAACAATTTTTAGACATTGGTAGCGAATGCTAAACGAAGGGCGTCGAGTCACCAAATATTTCTTTCAGTATTGCTACTGCTCCGTTGAAAGTGATGTCCTTTTGCTGTTTCGGCAGGATGTGATCAACGAATCTTGAATGTTTATTAGTATCCAGCTTGCGGAGCAAAAGACGCACTTTTTATGGATCATCTTAACTGCTGAAATCCGTCCGAAACATGTCCCAGCGTTTGAACCAGGCCTCGAAAGTGTTTTCGTAATCAGCTTCATAGTGAAATTCAGTGGTTGAATTCGTAAGGAGATCGGGTGAAACGGCCTGCGTGTCCCGCATAGCTGCTCCGTTTGACTGTACTTTCAAGCACTGCGTCAAGCTTTCAATCAGTTTCATTTGTGCTTCCATCTGGGAC